AGAGGGGGGGGAGAGATGGACTCTCCTGACCTATCTTCAGTTCCCTTTGAGTACCATGACTTGGCCCCGGTCTTCAGTAAGGTCAGTGCTACGTCCCTTCCACCACATAGACCATATGACTGTGCAATTGAGTTGTTACCTGGAGCACCGTTACCCAGCAGCCGTTTATATAACATCTCCAAACCAGAACGAGAGACAATGGAGAGGTATATTAACGAGTCTTTAGCTGCTGGAATTATTCGCCCGTCCTCTTCTCCTTTGGGTGCTGGTTTCTTTTTTGTTGGCAAGAAGGATGGTTCATTAAGACCATGCATTGACTACAGAGGGTTGAACCAAATCACTATAAAGAATAAGTACCCTCTACCTCTCCTAGCCTCAGCTTTTGAACCGGTTCAGGGGGCAACAGTCTTCACCAAACTGGATCTGAGAAACGCATATCATCTCCTCAGAATCAGAGAAGGAGATGAATGGAAGACTGCTTTCAAGACACCATTAGGTCAGTTCGAGTACCTGGTGATGCCTTTTGGTTTAACAAACGCCCCCGCCTGCTTTCAAGCACTAGTGAATGATGTTCTCAGAGACTTTTTAAATGTGTTTGTCTTTGTCTATATAGACGACATACTCATTTATTCACGGAACTTAACTGATCACAAGAAACATGTCCGCCTGGTGTTACAGAGGCTACTGGAGAACAAGTTATTCGTCAAGGCAGAAAAATGTGAGTTCCACAAACCATCAGTGACCTTTTTGGGGTTTGTGCCCGAGGGCGGGCAGGTTAAGCCTGCTGAGGACAAGATAAAGGCGGTATTGGACTGGCCGATTCCTGAAACTCGAAAACAGCTTCAAAGGTTTTTGGGATTCGCCAATTTTTACCGTCGTTTCATTAGAAATTATAGCCAGACGGCTCAACCTCTGACCTCTTTAACTTCGGTTAAGAGGAATTTTCAATGGACTCCCGAAGCTCAGTCTGCTTTTGACAAACTGAAATCTTTGTTTTCCAGAGCACCGGTGTTAATTCAGCCTGACCCTTCCAAACAGTTCATCCTGGAGGTCGATGCTTCGGATTCTGGCGTTGGAGCCGTCCTTTCCCAGAGACTCGACTCAGATCAAAAGATTCATCCATGTGCTTTTTTCTCTCGCAGACTATCATCAGCAGAACAGAACTACGGCGTTGGAGATCGAGAACTATTAGCCATCAAATTGGCGTTGGAGGAGTGGAGACACTGGCTAGAGGGAGCTGAGCACCCGGTTCTAGTCTGGACTGATCACAAGAACCTTGCTAGCATCCAGTCTGCCAAACAGGCCAACCCTCGTCAATCCAGGTGGTCCATTTTCTTCTCCAGATATAATCTCGTTATCTCCTACAGACCCGGATCAAAGAATGTGAAACCAGACTCCATCTCGCGCCTATACTCCGTCGATCAACCCGAGACACCAGAGCCAGTCCTCCCGGCCTCTTGTACTGTGGGAGTCGTGAACTGGGAGATATCCGATCTCATTAACTCCGCCCTGGCCACGGAACCCGACCCAGGTAACGGTCCGGCTAACAGAACTTATGTTCCGTCTTCCGTCAGGTCCAGGCTCATTCAATGGATGCACACTGCCAAATTCTCGGCCCACCCTGGAGTCAGTAGAACTATCGCTCTCATCACCAGACGCTTCTGGTGGCCCACTCTCCACATGGACGTAAAGGAATATGTGCTGGCCTGCCCCATTTGTGCTAGAAACAAGGCCTCGCATCAGCCACCTTCTGGTCTGCTACAACCTCTTCCGATCCCTTCACGTCCATGGTCCCACATTGCCATAGATTTCGTCACTGGTCTCCCCGTCTCTCGAGGTATGTCCACAATACTCACCATCGTTGACCGTTTTTCCAAGTCCTGTCATTTAGTCCCTCTCAGGAAGCTCCCCTCGGCGTTCCAGACTGCTCAGCTTCTCGTGAAACACGTCTTCAGATTACATGGCATTCCCCAGGAAATCCTATCAGACCGTGGTCCTCAATTTATCTCTCAAGTTTGGAAAGCCTTCTGTTCAGCTCTGGGCTGTAAGTCTGCTTTAACTTCAGGTTATCATCCACAATCCAACGGTCAGACCGAGCGCATGAATCAGCACCTTGAATCCACCCTCCGCTGCCTAACGTCCAACAACCCCACCGACTGGAGCCAGTATCTTCCTTGGATCGAGTACGCCCATAACTCCCAGAGATCAGCATCCACCGGCCAGTCACCATTTCAGGTCAGTCATGGATACCAACCACCACTTTTCCCCGCAGATGAAAAGGAGATAGCAGTCAAGACCATCAACCAACACATCCGTCGCTGTCAAAGAATTTGGAAGGAAACCATCACCACCCTAAACAAATCATCAGAGACCACCAAACGTTTTGCCGACTCAAAGAGACGTCCCGCTCCCGAGTACGCCATCGGACAGGAGGTATGGCTGTCTACCCGAGACATTCCCTTGAGGGGAATGTCTCGGAAACTGTCTCCCAGATTCATCGGTCCATTTAAGATTTCCCAGGTTATCAGTCCCTCCGCAGTCCGTCTCCAGTTACCTCCGAGTCTACGCATCCACCCCACCTTTCATGTCTCTCAGGTCAAGCCCGTAGTCTCTAGCCCTCTGTGCCCGCCATCCGACTCCCCACCACCCGCCCTGGAAGTCGATGGCCACCCTGCGTTCACCGTCCGTCGCATCGTGGACTCCCGTCGGCGAGGTCGCGGCTGGCAGTACCTCGTCGACTGGGAGGGCTACGGACCTGAAGACCGTCAGTGGGTTCCCGGCTCTTACATCCTCGATCCTTCCCTGATCAAGGAGTACGAGCGTTCCTGCCCATCTACTTCCTCCGGACCGCCAAGGGGCGGTCGTTGAGGGGGGGGGGTACTGTTGGAAGCTGGAGAAGTACCTCTCTTCTCCAGCAGAGTCCGCCGTGGATCCTCCTGAGCAGAGCCCTCTGCACAGCTGCTGCTCGTTACCATCATCAGGAGGACCCTCTACTTAAGCTGTCTTCAGACCTTGCCTCAACGCCGCAGTGTTGAGCCAGTTGGTTAGCACCTAAGCCCAGAACCTCTGAGAACTTTGCTTGCTCTGAGATCCTGACAGGATCCTAATCTTGTCTCTGTCTTTCCAGGAAAACCTGATCTTCCTTCGTGAAGCTCTGGTAGAGCTTAACCCGCCGAGCCTGCCCTCAGAGCCAAACCTGAAGACTTCCCCTGGATTCTCTTGCAGCTCTGGACCAAGAGCTGGAAATCCAAAGTCAAGGTCAGCTACCTTTCTAGAAGCAAGACGCTGAAGCAGCTAACGGACTCAGCTAATCAGACTCTCTCCAGTTCCAACAACCTTCCTCTCCAAGATCCATTCAAGGACCCACAAGGTACACTCCAGAGACTATCAAAGGACAAACCGCTAAGAGCCCAGCTAACTAACTGTCTTCCTCACAGACTCCGGTGAACCCGTTTGCCCAGGACCAGAACCAGAACATACTATCATTGGATTGTATTCAATAAACTCTGTTAACTTTTCATCTGTTTCCTGTGTCGTGGTGTTCTGCATAATTGGGTCACATTCGTGTACCGATCATGACAGGAAGTCCACAAAATGCAGCCTTTAGCTGATACAAAATGCTGCACCTAGGGTTCTACTTAAGATTACAAAAAGTATTTGAAATTCTACTTCACAATTACAAAGCCCTAAAAGACAATTAAGCTCCATCATATGTGAGAGATCTGATTTTTCCTTATGTTTCTGACAGAGCACTCTGCTCCCAAACTGCAGGTTTAATAGTGATTCCTGGAATTTCTAAAAGAAGAGAAGGAGTTACATCTTTTAGTTGTGAGCCTCCTCTCCGGGGGAAACAACTTCCTGTTTAACTACATGACACAGATACCCAGTCCGCTTTTGGAAGAGACTTAAAACCTTTGCTCATCATAAAGCTTTTAGTTAGATTGGCTCAAGCTATCCTGAGTTATCTATAGGTTTGCTGCTAAAGGCTTAGACTGCTGGAGAATATAGGAGTCATCTTTCCTTTTTTTTTTCACATTCTGTTTTCATTCTCCAATTTTGTGGATGTATCTCATATTAAGGGGAGGTATCAGCTGGGCCAATTATACACTGTTTATTTTTCCTGTTTATGTTCTATTCATGGCAGTTGGTTCGGTTTTCACAGCAGATAACTGCACATGCATTTTTTCCTCCTTTTGACCCAAAGCATGTTTAGTTCATCTGCTAACTCGTTCTTTCCCAAACAAAGCCGGTTAAGGAAGTAGTTTACCATTACCTTTGTTGATATAGAACACTTATGGAATGGTGGGTTCATATCCATGCCTAGGGTCTTACTGCATGGAGTTTGCGCATTCTCCATGTGCATGTGTGGGTCTTTTCCAAGTATTCTAGCTTTATCCAACATTCAAGTCCTTTTATCTTATATAGATACATAGATACATAGATTCTCTTAAACAAACTTTATGTACTGTATTTATCTTCAAACTTTCAAACCTTTTTACAATTTTGGTCTTTTTCGTTTGTTTTTTTTGTTTTTTGCAGAGGTTATGATTTTAAAATTAGTGTGAGCTTATGAACATTGTCTTTGAGAAGAAATGCTTTTTTTTTAATAACCTGTACTTAATCTGAATTGTAATATGAATTATCTTTGCTCTATATGAATTGCAGTAAATTTCACAATTTTATTCAGAAAACCACAGTTTTTTTTTGCACACTCACAGATTAGCCTTCATGTCATCATTGCTTATACTATACATACACTATCTATACTTAGGCAGTTAAAAAAACTATAACAGTCCTTTAATAATAAAATATCTTGCTCTGTTATTTCATTTTCCTGCTCTATTAGTTGTTTTTAGGAGTTTAATGAAGAAATTTTAGACTTAAAATATCCTCAAAAGAAAGCTTTTTACATAGCTTTAGAAAATGTTAACATGTATCAATCAGCAGAACAACAACAATAGTAATAGTTAGGCAAACCTCCTTTACACATGGTGTACTACCTCTTTTATGGCCTGCCACTTGTCTGCATTCTCTTCACTGATGATGCTGTCAGCTACACTGATGAAGTGCTGACTGAGCTCCTGGACGTTGTCACAGCTGCTGTTTTCAGCACAGACGGTCGGCTCAGATGAGACGTCAGCAGTCAGCACCAGCAGTTGGATGAGCGTCAACATGTCCGCTGGCTGCAGTCCTTCCTGCTGGGTGTCTTCCAGGGCCTGAACAGAGATGTTCAGCAGCGTCGAAGCCTGTGCCAGGGTTTCCAGTCCAGATGGCTCCTGCACCGGCTGAGACTGAAACAGACATCCAAAGTTCCAAAAACTCATTTCAGGGAGATGCTTATCCCCCAACCCCCCGCCCCCCGGGGACAACAGACCCACACCGTGCCCCATACATAAACACTTAAGGCCAGCAACTTTTCAACAGCTGTTTTTTAACTAACAGTAATTTCTTAAACACATAACAGAACAGTGTTGGTCTGTTATTTTCAGTTTTCAATACTTTTAATCTTGTAGCCTTGAACATCGGTTGTGCTTTCTGTTTTTCATGGGACTTCAGCATACAGTGCACCTCGCCACGGTTCTAGACAGGGGCCAATGGGGGTCAGTGCCCCTGTAGATCATGTCCTGGACCCTGTTATGGCCCCTGTACTGAAGACATAATACTTAAAAGAGATTCTAATGATGATATGCACTGGATCAGACCTGGTTACTGATAGGTCCTTTGGATCTATTTAATTCTTTTTCTATACAAATTCAGTTTTACTAATTATTCACAACAAATAAAACAAATGCTCTAATTTTTACAGATGAATTTAACAGTTTCTCTTTAGTTCTAATTCAGATTTTAGAGAAAATGGTAGTTTTCACTTAAATTAAGTCAAAAAATAAGTAAAATTCCTAAATTATAAGAATGTAATTTTTATTGAACCTAATTGAAAAGAAATTTCACTTCATGCAGCCCTCTTAATATATTTGAATCCCTTGCCCTGTTTTTTATTTCATGCTTTCCTGAGCCCCCATGAAAACACGCTGCCCCCCTCCTGGCCCCCTGGTTCGTGGAGTCTAGATCCGCCACTGTTCCTCACCTTCACTAGACGTGGATGTACTTTAGTATATTCTGCTGTAAAATTAGTCCTATATTTTCGTTTTTTACTCGAGGATTTAACCTCTGCCGTTTCCCAGGATGCACAGCTTTGAGTGGTAACTAGGTGACTGCCAGAGAGTAACCCAGAAAAACTTATCGGACTGATCCAATCAGCTCTCTGACAACCAGTCGCCTGGAACGGTCGTTGAACAGAGCATCGCTTTGGACAGATACGCTGCACAGGTTTCACCAGCAACCTCCTCCTCACACCCCGCGCTCTTGTTGTTCCTGAGCAATCAAAGTTGTTCTAATCGACAAATGATGCATGAGTTATTGTACTGCCTGTACGCTCTAACTTGCATTAAAAAACACCACCTCGCAGCGTCTAAAATCCGGGACATCCGGGCATCCATGTACAACTATCTGTTTTAGGGAGACTCCCGGAACTTTCGGGAGACTTGGGATGTCTGCTAAAAGAAAAAAAAAATCTTTGATTTAATTGAACAATAATTTTCAATTAATCCATAATTGTTCGAATATCGTTTTACAGAATAATATCTAATAGAAAATGATTTTTATCTAAATTCTATAAAGCTGTTCTAAACAACTGACTAAATAATTTTGGCTTAAAGAACGTGTTTGAATGAAATACATTAAGGTAATATGCCAAAGGAAAACATATCCTTTTAATGTCTATTGTTTTCAATCGATCAAATGCTGTTTTATGTGACAGATAGTTACCAGTGCTTTTTTCCTATTTAAAATGTTACATGACACAGCCATGGTTTCTAGATATATCAGCTGTGTGCTGCCATGAACACCTTTGTTTATAGATGTTCGAGATCAGCCTGTTTTTCAGTGTAGTCCAGTTTCTCTGAGTGTGACTGGTCGTATGTGCTCTCTTCACCTTCTGATATGGGACCTGGCTTGGAGCTCATCTGCCTGGCTGTGTGTTTCCTGGAAGGGGCCGCCTTTTAGTTGCTGTTAAAAGGGAGTTTATCCTCTCCACTGTCGCTACAAGCATGCTTGGTGTGAGGGATTGCCTTCGAGTCAATAAGTCAATGCAATCAACGGGTTTTCCTGGTGAACTGTAAAGTGCCTTAAGATAACATGTGTTGTGAATTGGAGCTATATAAATAAACTGAATTGAATATATACAATCCTAATTTAATTAGGATAAGTCATTTCAAACAGAATTGCCATAACATAATGATCCCTTTAGGTTTTACACTTTTAAATACTTTGGTGTTTCAATTATAACTTAAATGCACCTCATATGCTCCCCTGTATTCCTATTTAAAAGGCAGTCAGAAGAAAGCAAGGACTGTAGATATTGGAACATTCCAAAGAGTATGAAGTAATAAACACAGCTGTATTTTGGACTATTTATAAGAAGAAGTTTTTTAAAAATATTTTTCTGTAATGCCAACAGAATGACACCAACATAGGCACCACTATTCCTCATTTAAGACTTCAATCTGGAAGACTCTTATCGGCTTTTACTGAACCACCCCCACATCCATCGTTAAGCTCCAGCCAATCAACTTGGGGCCACATCTTCTCTGAAGTTAATCATCTTTGAAGATCCCCTTCATTTGAACTCCTGGACTAGTTTCTGTATCCTGCACGCAAGCAAATTTTCACCCACCTCCTCTCTCATTCTCAGTCCCATGCACCCTCTGGCTTATTCCACCACCAGTGTCCGGGGGGCGACTATTCTAATCTTTTTCTAGGTTGCTCATTCAAGCGGATGTTGATTCACAGCATCGAAGTCTTCTGCTGGGGTCCCGGGTGCCAAAGAACTTATTTCATTTATCTGCTTTCGTCTCCTTGAACCCCAGTCGGCCTCGGCAGATGGCCGCTCACTCTGAGCCTGGTTCTGCTGGAGGTTTCTTCCTTTTATAAGGGAGTTTTCCTCTCCACTGTTGCTACATGCATGCTCAGTGCGAGGGATTGCAGAGAGTTACCAAAACCTTGCAATCAGCTAGTCTTTCTTTCTCTGTGTGGGTCTCTCCAGATTGAAAAGTTTCAACATTTAACTTCTCCATTATTTGAGAAATATTTCTGTGCAGTAAAAACTTTTATTGATAATGTTAATGTTGCTAAAAATCACTTTTAAGTTGCATTGGATTGGGAAGCCAATGTACTACAACTTGGACAATATTCAATGACAAAATTTTGCTTATCAGTTTAATTCTGTTTAGAAATGTTTCTAATTGCCCCTAATGTCTAATATATTTCAGGAGCTATGTTTTTACATAAGGATTTAGTAATTAGTTTGTAAATGTGTTTTTTTTTTCTGCATATAACCTCTTTTTTTGTTCATTCCATATTGGTATTTTTTAGTTAAGGTGTAGTTAGATTTATGTATTGTGTTTTAGGAAAGAAAAAGAAACTAAAATTGAACAAGTGGAACTAAAAACTGTCCATATCTAGCATTTTCCCTATTTTTGCAAAAAGAAAAAAAATATTTTTTTCACTTTTTGTAAATACTTTTTTTGTTAGCTGGCTGTAATTTGAAAAAGTAATTTGTCGTTTTTCAGTTGGAGGTTTTAGAACACAATAAAAGTTTCAGACTTAAAGTAGGTGACAACACAATTTCTTCTACATTTTCTGTTGCACTATTTGCAAAACACATTATGTGTCTTTTATTTCCAGCTGAGATTTTCATTGTGTTTTAATTCTAAGTAAATTTCTATGTATTTTGTTATGTTGGTAATCGCAGTTTTTTTTAAATAGCTGCAGTACCTTGCATTGTTTAGACTAGTTACATTAAACTGATCCATTGTTTTAACAAACAAGGAAGTATGAACTCTAGCTGTAGGATGTCTAAAGCTTGATACCAGCCATTCTGAATATGATAGGTGTGGTCTACCTGGCTTTTATTGGAAAGCTTCTTTAGTTGGTTCATGAAGGCTGAGGGCTGGCTGCTCTGAGACATACTGATCTGCTCCATCTTGTGGTGCCGCTCTGTAGGAGAGAGAACAGAACACGTTTTAATTATCAACTTTAATGGCTTTGATTCTGCTTTCAGGAGAACATGCAATTTAGACATAAATCTAAAGATAAAACATATTGTAGATAATAATGTTCCCCTGCAATATAAGGAGTTAGCCTATCTAACTTTAGTAAGTCAAAATCCATAAAAAAAAATGCAAAATAATGAATACCTGCAAGGTTTGTAGTTTGAATGTCTTTTCTTTTATAAAATAAAGATAAAACACTTTTAGCTACATGTAAAAATCAGCATGGCATAATATATTAAACAGAAGATAACATAAATGAATGCTCTGCTGGTCACTGTTTCCCAGGTCCTATTGGAAATAGAGAAATGTACAGGAATCAAACAAAAGAAAACACTTTAAAGTTCAATCTAAAAAAACATAGAAACAAGTCTAAGAACAGATCGACCAAGATGTTACCTTTTTACCAAAGATATTAAACTTTAGTCTGAAACATGTCACACTTTGAAGGGATTACTTCAAAGTTTGTTTTATACAGGATTACTTATAGCTATGCAGCTGTAGAATCCATGACCAGACAGCTGAGGTTTCCAAGCAATGAAACTAGTTGCATTTTTTCTACAGATTATTTTTAGGCTCTAGTGGTCTTTTTTTTAAAGAGAGCAAACAGGAAATGGAACAGAGGGGGAAGACATGCAGCAAGGTTCACCAGACAGGGACTTGAACCAGTGACGGTGCATTGAGGATTAGAGCCTCTGGACATGGGTCACGCTCTTAATGCCTGCACCACCACTGCACCCAAGACTGGCTTCATTTAATCTCTCAAACTGATTTCTTTCATTCACACTGAAGAAGCATGGAGAGGTGCAAATCGTTGGTGGGTAGACAAGCAGATGAAATGGAACAGCTGTATAAGCAGTATGTGCTCAAAAGAGCCAGTAGCAAAGCACCGAGGTGGAAAAAAAAGCTCATAGGCAGGAAACTTGGAGCAGGTTCCCAATTATTCAGACAAATTGAAAAGAAGGACTGAAGCAGGATGAGAAACAGCATAGGCTTTCTTGCAAAGTGAGGACATGCAAAAGATAAGAATGATACAAAGCAGGAAAAAGAAAAAAAAAGTTCTTAAGCCAGATAACCGTTCCAGTAGAACCATAAGTGATGCTTTCTCTCTGACTTTTGCTCCTTTTTGATCTCTCATCATAAGTGTATAATGAGAAGGACTTAGAGAACAGCAGCCTGCCTGTCACACCCTGATGGAAGGGAGGGCGACAGAAACACAGAGGAAACCTGCACTCAAATTTTTGGGTATGACAGTCAACAATTTCCTATGACCAGTTAAAACAGTCATCTTGTTCAGTGGCAATTTCATCAATGGCATTTAAAACATCACTGCAAAAGTCACGACTGCCCTGGTGCGAGCTGACAGAAGCGAGGCTGCCATTAAATCGGTTCATACCATAGATAGCTGAGGGGGGATCCTAAAGGACAGAGAAGTGGTTAGAAAACTGCATCTCCGATTCTATGGAAGAGGAGCTCTTTGTTTTGGGCCAACAGGAGAACAGGCAGCAATTAAAGGCTGAGGTTTGGCACCCTACATTACAAGGAGGTTATAGGGGACTACTGTAGGTCCAGGAAGAATGAACATGCTTCTCTCTGAATACATGTGGAGGTGGTGGAGCATGTGGACAGCATGAGGTTCCTGTGCATTCACTCCTGAGTGCCCAATGTCAATTTTTTTCAAAAACCTTAAATAGACAGAACTTTCTTCAGCTACTCGCAAACCTTTATGGGGCCACGATCGAAAGCATTTTTTATTTGCCTGAGAGTGATGTGGTAGCTGCACAGCGCAGAAGAGGACAGGCAGCCTAGGGTACAGTACCGAGGATTGTTAAAATGCTCCCTACCAGATGTGGACTCAGATTATGTTGCGCAAGTCCATCAAGTTCACTCAGATCCACAGATCCAACCTACCGAGGCAATGCATTTGTCCCATTTCCATAAAGAAAATGATACGTGAGCATTCCATCCAAAACAAAATAAGGCAAAAGATCCTTCTCTATCCTAGTGGGGAGTTTCCATTGATTGTCATTAATTTGTAGGCAATTTCTACAGTCTAATCCTTGCCCTAAACTTAACCATAACACGTACATACCTAATCCCAACCAAAACTATATTCACATCTTAATCTCAAACCTAACACCTAGGTCTTTAACAGTAATCTCTACCAAGGGACCTGGTGTAGGTCCCCACAATGACGGCTGGTCTCCACAATGCAGGGTTTTTACAGACATTTTGTCCCTACCATGTAGGGACTACACACAAACACATAAACCCACATGTTGTGTCAGACCATGCTTGGTACCAAGCACCATTGCCTTCCATTCATTTGCGATTCATTTTCATGGCCTAACCCTAAGCCTAACGCTATACAGTACCTAAGCCTAACCTACATTGAACAAAATTCACAACTAATTCTTAAACCTGACCACCACCCCAAGAAGAGAACTGCAGCAACAAGGTCACACAAACACCCCAGCTGACACCAAAAAGACTCATGACCCATTTCATACAGACTGCTTAGCAAGCTAAATTTAATGCAAATAACTACATAATATAATTCTCTACAGTAAATATAATGTAGTATATACTGTATATATGTAGTGTATAATGTATGTATGTATGTATAAAGGGTATTAAATAAATTACTTTGTGTGTTCTTTTTTTTAAAAGGATGTTTTTATTTAAGGGTGTTTATTTTTCATTGTAGTGAAATATAATCAAGTGTTTTTTAAATTTGTGCCACATATATGTATGTTTTAAACCAGTGTCTCAGCAAAATTTCATTATGGTATACATACATATTAACGATAAAAACACTTGATTTTTGTCAATCCTCTGTGTACCACCAGCTGATAAAAAGTGTGTGTGCTTGTTACCTCACATAGGCCAATAGAAAAGCATGTTAGGTTAGCTGGTCACATTGGTTTGCTTTCAAGTGTACTGGTTCATCATCCTGAACAGATTTTGGATTGCACGATAGATGGATAGGTCATGTATATATTATCTTCATTTATCTAAATGTACACTTTGGGAATAGTTATAAAGGGAATGTTTCATCCTGAACAAATATGGATGTGTGAATGATAAAAAGGTGTTTGGACTTTCCTTTAACTAAATATGTTTTTTTCTTATTCAACAGTATAACATTATAATTCTATAATTTCAAAAGACTCCAAGCTTTTTTCTGAACATTTCTGTGTTTATTTAGAGATGTGGACAAAATTGGCTGTACCAACTGTTTATCGAAGAAAACTCCCACAGAGGATTAGAAAAATAACTAGAATCTGACAAAAGTAATAATAAATAAAACTTTATGAAAATGAACATCTGAAATTCAGTGATTCAACCATGCTTCAAAATAACGATTTAAAAAAAAAATGAGCTCACAAAGCAGGCCTTAACAAGACTAAAAATAATGTGACCAAAGGTACATATGACATTAAGTTGTGTCCACTAATTAGCATCACATGTGTTTACAATCCTCTAATCAGTCAATTTGCATGTATAAGGACTACAGTTAGTCACTGTGCTACTTTGTGACATGGTGTGTACCACACTCAACATGGACAGGAGAAAGCGAAGACTTGAGTTGTCTCAAGAAATAAGAAGGAAAAAGGGCTACAAGACCATCTATGAGCTGTTTGAAGCTCCTGTGACTTCATTTGCACATATTATTCCGAGATTTGAGATCAATGCTATTGAGCCAAACTCCCTGGATGTGGTAGCAGGAGAAAACTTGATTACAAAGAAAAGAGACACAGGAAAGATTTTAACAAAAGAGCTGAGAAAAACCCAACTGTGTTTGGGTCCTGGAGGTTCAGAATTCAACTCCCACACACTGCCCCTCTGGGTCCCTGATTAAAACCCTTAACCCCACCCTGCCCCCCTGATGCCGCCCCACAAGGGGATGGGTTGAATGAAGTGCTGAATTTCTCTAGTGTTATATAAATAAAGTTCAGTTATAGATCACAGTATCCCTCACTGAACTAAAGTTAAATTTAATGGGAGATGACTAAGGAAGATAATCATTGTTGAAAACAAATCACAAAAAAGCAGACTGTAATTTTGCCAAATTACCCGAGGATAACCTATGAAACTTCTGGAAGAAGGTCCTATGAACTGATGAGACTGGAATATTCTTAAGCTGGCTTCTATAATCTATATCCTATTGAACATTTAAAGAAGGAGCTGATACATGCCATCTAGAGAGGCGCCTTTCAGACCCGAGACAACCAGAGATGTTTGCTCATGAGGAGTGTGCAAAAATACCTGCTGAGAGGAGCAGATGTCTCATTCACAGTTACAGGCATCATCTGATTGCAGTGATTGACTGAAAAGGTTGTGCAAAACAACACTGAATTAAGGATAGCATAATTTTTGTCCAGGCCTGTTTTGTGATTTTATTTTATAAAATTCTGTTAAATTGTGGTTGAAGAGTAATGTCTGACTTTCAATTTTTATTTTCATAGAATTTTATTTTTGAGTCAGAATGAGTTATTTCTGTCACTGGGGTTTTTTCTGTCATTAAATGATGGGTACCACATTTTTTTCCATGTGGATGTGCGTGGTTTGCTCTGAACAGTTCTATGCAAGCTGACAAACCATGGATTATCCTGACAAAATGTAGAAAAACAGCCCACCTCTGCTGCTCCTGCAGATGAAAGGTAGAAAATCCGAGCAGTCTGTCCAGTCCAAGGAAGGAAGCTGATCTGACCATCCTTGAAATGTCCTGCAGCCCTGTAGCTCCATCTGCTGGTGTAGTGCTGTTCACACATTTAAACGTTATCAAAATACACCCATACATAGAACAAAAAAGGAAAAAGAAACTAAAAGAAAAACATTAAAGACATGCTTACAAAACAATAAGGTTGAACAACTATTCATTTTGCCAAAGAAGGTATTTCTCTTTCAGTATAATTCAATTTCACATTGGGTGGGGTGGTTAACTAAGACATAGTAGTAATTCTTAAAAAAACAGACTAAAGTAGTACCTTATGATGTCATCTACATGGCTAAGATGCAAAGTGCTTTGAAAAAGCATGTAGCTTCTGTTTTTTTTTTCTTTAACACATCTTCTTCTTCAACATCACTTCTTTATATTAATAATTTGTGTTATGTTAAACCAATGTTTTTGCTGATGAAACCTATTTTTATGGTTCTGGTACTGACATAAAGACATTAATTAATAACGTTAAAAACAACATTTGATCAACTGGATGATTTGATACATTCAAACTATAGTTTGCAGTAAATAAATTATATTAAAATTGAATTAAACCAAAATAATGTATTTTGGAAATAGACCAAATAATACAGATAGAATTCAATACCTCGAACCTGCTCAAACATTTGAAGTCGAAACATGTGAATGTACACACAGAGTTTGAGACTGCCAAGAGAAACTGGAGAAGACCTCAACAACAAACCCTGGTCAGTTCACTTTGTGGGAAAGAGCAGTGGGACAAGAAGTGCGAAGCAGCAAGACAGATGTCTGAGGAAATACCTGAGATGACTGTTCTCTGTAACCTCTCCTTCATTGAAAGCGTGGGCTTCCAGCTTTTAATGGCTCATGCTGTACTTAAATATAAGGTCCCAAGTCGCACATACATCACAGGGACGACCATCCCTACACTAAAAAATAAAGTAAAGGAGCATGATTTAGGAAAGCTAGGGGAAGCAGGCCCATAAGTTTTTCAACTGACCTCTGGAGCAGCCAAATCTCCCCACTGTCCCTGCTTAGCTTGACAGCCCTCTGCATAGACTTGGAAACATTCAGACCGGAAAGCTTCATTCTTCACGCAAATGAATTTAAGTTTATTCAAATATTAATGTCATTTTACTTTCTAACTGTTGCACTAGTAGTTAATGAAAGTTCAGGAAAGTTGCACTATTCTGGCATTTGAGAGCCAAAACTCAGGGTTTAAAAGAGATTATTCAATTATTAATGTAATTTTAGTCTTAGTATTGCGCTACTATTATACATGTTATAATTTCACAAATGTTGCTCTATTTTGGCCTTTGAGAGCCAGAAGTTTATTTAACTATTGTCACCCATTCCAGGTAGGCAATAAAAAGTTCTACTGGATTCTATTTGTATTAGTCTTTTTCCTGCTTCACAAAGGTAGGCAGCAGTTTGACAAAGCCATGATGGTAATTATTTTACATCCAAGTAGTATGCAGTTCTTCATATATATATATATATATATATACACACACATCAATTTCAAACAGATGGTATCGGTATGGTATCGGTATCGGCCAATACCGCACAGCCATGTATCGGGTATCGGTATCTGGGCCTGTATCTGGCATTGGAGCAACAATAGATACAATTGACCCTTTGGATTAAATCAATATTCTACTTGGAAATGAAATTACATTTTTAGGAGGAGTTATGGACAGTTAAATGATTTGGAAATCTGCTACGTATATACAAAATAAAGTGTCATAAAGCATTGCTATCCTCAAGAGAGCGATAGATGTTTTAGACAACACAGGCCTCAATAAATCATATTGTTCTCTTGTTTTAATATAACTTGCATATTGTGTTGAGGTTTAGCAAAACAATATAATATAATATAATATAACATAAAACAAGCCTACAGTCATTAGCTACACTACAAAAAAGAGCATTTAGATTTTTACCATTTATGTTCAAAGCAAAAATAACATTATTACCTAAGAGTTCAAAACCTTTTCATTCAAAGGGATGGAATGAATAACTTGCTATATAAATGGAAGCGGAAGGTCAACTGAAGAAACTCATTGTTTTTCATACATCCACCTGCGAAGCAGCCAATCAGCTTTGAACCATACAGCCACGAAAGCCAATCAGCATCCAAAGCTCATCTTAAAAGGCCTCTGATACGCACCAGTCTGCTCCAACGCCTGCATGCATTCTTCATTCAGATGACACTGTTTCAACCCACCTCCATCCCTTTCTCCACTATTGTAGCTAAAGCTTAATCAGAGTGTCAGTCATCCTGGACTCTAACTGTGTTCCCTGTCTCATCTTAACCGGTCCAGCAAAACACCGCCATGTTGAGCCTGGTTCTGCCAGAGGTTTCTTTCCACTGTCGCTTCATGCTTGTTCATCATGGACAGGTTCTCTCAACCTGTGTTATCCAACTGTGTTATCCATCCTCCAGCTCCCTGAGTGAAGCTCTAGTATCAGCTCACACTATCCACTGGATCTCCCCATAAAGCTCAGCATAACGTCTCGCTAACCAGCAGTCTACAGACTAACCAGCTTAATCTATCTTCACGCCAGCATTAGTTTCAGGCCTGGGGGGGTCGGGGGGGGGGGGGGGGGCGGTCGGGGGGGGGGGACAGTCCTATTCTTTGCTGCTGTTCATGCATATCTACCGAGGTCTGAGCGCCAAAGCCAAAATAATTTTATCAATAAATTTATCCCAATTGTCTTTTCTCTTTGTGGGAGTTTTTCAGATTGAAATATTTGACAGCAAATTCATCAACAAAATATCAGATATTAGATATAAATTATTTTTTACCTCTTGATCTAATCAAAGTCAAACTTCAAATGTATTCATTAATGAGTTTTGTGTTAACTGAGCAGACATCAAGTAAAACTGAACTTTTGTGCTGCCATTTAGGTTATTATTTAATAGGTATAAAACATGTTTTTTATAGGAATGGGGAATGAAAAGCTCTTATTTATTCTGAACTTATAGTTTTAGGAATTAGACTGTTATCTTACCTGGACAGAATATAGTGGCTTGTACCTCTTTCACAACATCATGGTTGTGTATAAGACTGAGGTTCCAACTGAAAAACTTTTCCTTTATCATGGTTGAACATAAATTTAAGGCCCGAACATGTCTTGATTCCAAAGAAATGTTCCAAACATTCAGGTCAGTGATATTCCCAAAAAAGGGCTCAGTAAAATTGCCTCCAAAAGAATCTTGGTCTTGGCCCAAAATAAATATACCATCACCGTGAATGTCTCGGTCCATATCTGTACCATAGCCCATGTCTCTCTTTTCACCATCCACATAGATAGCCCAGGAATTGCTGATCCGGCTCCAAGTTGCACAGATGTGATGCCATGCTCCGTCGTTTGCAAAAGATGCCTTATATGGAAAATGCTTTCCATGGATTATGAGTGCCAGGTGGATATGACCCTTCATGTCAACTTGGCCTCGTAGCTGAAATTCATTGTTCAGAACAGGTGCAGCATAGGAGAAGACAGTGGATGCATCACTCCACTCTGTGTACCACTGAACCCGAACACATACACTGACAGAGGACAGTGCGGGAAAGGACACGTTAACACGAGCAAAGCCTTCATGGGACTCCTTTGGGAAATTAAGAGCCGAGAACTCCATATCTATACCAAAAGAGAGAAGAAAATTGTTTCAGTTGAAGAAAAATGTTGATTATAGTTGGGAAATGTATAACTTCACTTACACTGCCTTGAGAGAGCTAATGCCTCGGAGGCTCCTCTGTTATAATCTTTGACCCAGACTGGAGAATGAAGTCCGGTCTGCTGAAGAAACTCTAAAGTTTCTTTATTTTCCTTTAGCTCTTTCAGGGTGATAAGAGAGCTGAACTGACCTCTGCAGAAACTCTCAGCTCTGGAAAAGGGCAGCGAGTCATTAAACAACTTCAGCACCCATTGTGAGGTTTGATATAGAAGCTTGTCTTGCTCTGGGAAGCACAAAAATAAGCACATTACAGATTAAATGATTGAAAGTGCTTAAGTCTGTGGATACATTTTTTTAAAGTCTTGAATATGTCAAATTGAAGAATAAATGAATCATCTGTTCTCTCACCATAGGGGTTCTTTATTGTCTCTGGCCCACCATGTGTTGGCTCACCATCACATACTGCCTACAGCAAAGGATTTCCAGTTCACTTATACCATTCTTAGGAAGAATTATATATCTATTGTGTTAACACTCATTATTTTAAATATATTAAACATGATTGTTTATAATGCATTTTAAATTATAAATTTAGTATGATTGTTCTTATCATGGCATATGACACACAATGCAATGTATAATGTAAATATTCTTACCTTCATCAAGACAAATAAGAGTCCTGTAAGCAAGGCTCCGGTCATTTCTACGCAGAAGATATGATCAGTTGGTTAACAGTTGCTTCAAAAACATTGCTGTGTAAAATCCAACATTGGTAATTGTTACAAGCAAAATCTTCACAAGCACAGCCAGCTGTGATTGACAATGGCTCTGTTCAACCACTGACTATTAAAAATTGTAAAAAATATTGCTAGTTTCTTCTTTACACCAAAAATACACCATGATTTCCTGTCACTCAGGAAAGAAGTGCCAAATACATGGAATAGCGGAAAATAAATGCAGCTTAGGCTCCTCATGCACTACCTCTGAGTCAATATCAACCATTTCCTGTAGTGTCTACAATCTCCTCATAGGGAAAGAACCAGTGCTCCCTGTGCATCTACCCACGGCGCTATCTGCCACCCCTTCTCCTTTCAGCTTCAACACTCCTCCTTCCTTTCCTCCCTCACGCGCAGCCACCCTGGAGTAATCTGCCTTTGTCATGCAAAAAGGGTCATTTTTTAAAAGATCTGCCATTGCGCAAGCAGTGTTGAGGACTTGGCAAAAAGAACAAACAGACAGCAGCAGGAAGCTAAGGGGAATCATCCACTTCTCCCTTTTCTATGCTTTCACCCAGGCATTCTCAAGTTAATCATCATATCATATCCATTGCCTGGCACAAGCCAGAGGTTAAATTGGTTACTTTACAATTAATAAACAAATTATTTTTGAAACATACTTATAAAAAATAAATAGTTTCATTGTACACAGTAAAACTGTATAATGTACGGTACAATACTTTATGGTGAAGGATTACTTTTACACACTTGGTATCTAAGAATATACCAAGACATATTCTTAAGGCATATTTTTAAATCGGCGTCTTGGCTGTTTGTGCTAGTGAAGGAGATCAAAGTTGGTATCAGCAGCTTTTTTTCCATTACATATGTGCACAAAAGTTTAATGGTGTTTTAAAAAGAACTAAAACGTTGCCATTACAAAATCCCATATAAATAAGTTGTGAAAAAAAGAAGAATATAAACATTTACATAAGGCATATTCATATTTCAGCAATGGCACTAATGCTCTTCACCAGCTATTAAATTAAAAGTTAGGGTCTTATTGAGGTATCAGCAAAGCTCTAAAGTATGTGGTGTTTTGTAGCTCACGATTTTACAGAGAGGTGAAAATGTAACACTTTTGAATAACACAATGAACTTTTGATTTACTGTGTAAAGCTGTGAGATCCTTTTTAGAGAAAACTGTGCATTATTAAAGATTTGAATTGCCACCTAAAAAGAAAAGCATTATTGCTGTATATACACTGACTAACTGCAGAGTTGGATTGGGGCAGAAACATTTAGCATCAGCAGTACATCTCTTTGCCAAATGAAATCAAGGTATAACAAACTGAACGGCACAATTTTTATGGGCATGGCCTCCTACCAGTTTATGGGTGTATAGATGGTTGTCACATACCAGGGTGCTCCTCCATGTCAAGCTCATCATAAGGGAGATATGTGTTGGTTCCATTTGGAGTGCCCATATATTTGCTGTGTTTGCTACATCTGTAACTTTTTAGTGAGGTGTACTGTTCAGTAGTCAATAGTTCATTTTTGCAAGCAGAATTACAAATATTATACATATTTTACATCAGAAGTAGTTCTTGAAGTAATTATTTTAAATTTTCCTTTAGTATACTGCATGTCTGTAGATCTTTTATTCCTTGTTTAGTATTATTGTTTTTCTGTTACATAGCAAGTTTCTACCTTGCCTAGACCTTTAAATCTAGATTACTCCTTAATCTGTATTTTGGAATAATATAAATCTAACAATGTATTATAACTAGTGGTAAGTTCAGGGTGTAGTTGGTGTGAAAGAAACATTTTTTTTTCTTGTGTGACCTGTTTTGCCTGGAAAAAATTTAAATCTTACTAAGTCATTGTTTCTTAAAATAAGTGCATTTGTCCTTGCTTTGAGGAGGTAAAAGAGACATTTTGCCAATGGAACAAGACAATTTACATTTAAAATACAGTAAGAAAACACAATTAAATTGTCTTATTTCAAGTGCATGTTATCTAATTATCTTATTTTAAGAGTAAAAATACTCATTCTATTGGCAAACTACCTAATTTACCTACTCAAATTAAGGGTAAATACATTTAATTTAAGAACATTTTACTTATTTCTAGATCGTTTTTCCAGCCTATATAGGTCCTAGAGCTAGATAATGGCCCAAAAGATTTGCTTTCCAAGCAGACCATTATGGTTGTTGCCATAATGTTTCGCTTGGTACTTATACATGAAACTTTATTGAAGATGATTTAGAGAATAAAATAGTATACAACAGAGACAGAAAGGGACGTGAGAAAAGGAGAGGGCATAAGAATTAAGTGAAGACAAAAAGAGATAGAGAAAGGAAAGAGGGACAAAAGAGAGACAATAGACTATAGAAAGAAATCAGAGAACAGAACAACAGCAAAAAAGACAACATTCAACCAAAAAAAAAAGCACCAAAAATAGCGGCAAGAGTTGCAGGTATTTCTTAGATTAGCAGTCAGTATTTTTGTGTGGAAAGCAAGACCTACTGTACAATGATTACAAAAAATTCAAGGTCATATATGTCTGTAGCTACAACTTGAGCCCCATTTACATTACCCTTTTGAAACTTTGCCGGTATCAGTCCAAGCACGGTAACCGAGATAACTGTTGAGTGTAAATGGGACACTAAACTGTACCGGACACAACCGAACTGCACCAAAACTGGTACTAGTTCAACAGTACGGCTTGAGGCACTTCAGTTGTGGCTCAGTTCTCAGATAACAAAAAGTGCATGAGCAGACATACAGTCAGCTTCCAGTAGTTGGCGGTAATGCACATCAGTAAGTTCCTTGCCAACTGCCACAAAACAGAGGAAGAAGAAGAACTGCAAACAACTATCGAAATCTTCTAAACACAACAATTTTTAAAATGGCTTCAAAAGAGTTTGGTGTGACTTGGGATGACCCCGAGACTCAAGCTGTTATTGCAATTTGGACAGTGGACACTCTCCAAGGCGATGTTGGATGGTACAAAATATAATCATAAAATTTTCCTTAAGATTTACGAAGAAATGAAAGTAAGGGGGTACGACCGAGACTGAAAACAGTGCCGGGAGAAATTACAGAAACTTAGAATTCTAAACAAGAAGGTTGATGACCACAACAACAGATCAGGGAGAGGAAGAAAAATATGGAAATTCTCCAATGCCATGGATGAAGTGTTAAGTGCTGGTTATACTCCCCGCAGCAGTGTGTCGCAGTAAGCTTGATGCAGACAATTTTGATTTATGCTCAATTTTTAGGCATGGGCTGCACTAAAATCCATGCCACAACGCAAGGGAATCATTAACTAGCCATGGGTGTAGATACGGCTAAGGCGGTGAGGAAGTAGGGACAAGTTTGTCTTGAAACATCTGACAATGAGGACCAGTATGAGAACCTTTACAACACACAGGATGGTCAGAAGGCTCTACACCATTTAATTGTTAATGCTTCAGTAACTTTTTTTTAACACTATCAGTATTAAAAGTCACCATTAAAAGTCACCACCATGATGACATTATTAAGTGTGTCAAATTTAAGCTTTATATTATTTTTCTCCAGCAAATTTAAACGTTTATCATATTTTCACTCTTACATTACAGCATTACAGGAAATAGCTCTACCTTTAAAGTGAAAGAGCGAGCATTTTTATTTGAATCACATTTCAAATAAATAGTTATCAATAGTTATTTGGTTTTTCTTTCCAGACATGGATGACTAACAAATGGGTCGATTGCTAGTTTTATTTCGGAGGAGCCAGGAGTAAGTGACATGACCGACGGGATCTTTTTGGCCCACATACAGAAGAAACAGGATTCGAGGGAAGATTAATAGTTTCTTTATTTGAGCAGCAAGGTGAGTTCACTAACATGCTTGATTGTTTGCCAAGAACCGTGAAGGAGAGACAGCGTCTGGGAATGAGACAAAAGTCAGCTGAATCCGAGGTAGTTTGATAATGAGAGGATGAATGACAACACATACTTGAGGTCCGTGGGAGTTTGTCCGGGGTGGGGGTTGGCGTCCAAGCGGATTCGGAGGAAGAGAGCCAAATCAGGCCTTGGTCTTTCCTTTAATGTGTTAACAGTAGCTTAACTACATCAGAAGCTACTTAACGTTGTACTCAGTGTTGTGCCTGAACGCGTTCATTGAACAAAAGTTCATGAACTCGTTCATATTTTGGGCGAACGTTAACTGAACGTACTGTATTACTGCCTGATGAACGTTATTGTGAACTCGTTCATTCTGGTGTCTGTGAACGGCACGCTCTCTCAGTTCACCTCCGTTCAATAGGTTGCCAAATTTCTATAGAGCCCTCCAGGCGAAACCCCGGCTAAATCACACCGTAAACAGGCCTTAATATGTAGCGGGAAAAACACCCAATCTGGCAACACCAGCTACCAGCGTCGTAGCCTACAGCCGCGTGCGTCATTAAAACAAAATGCAGAGTGGAAGCCACAGCAGCATGGAGGCGACCGTGGAGGCGACAAAGCAGCAGTATGATCACTTAAAGGTACACTATGCAACCGGTGTTGATTTTCCAGCGAGGCTCCCCCCAGAGGGCGAAAGTAGAAGTGCACTGTCGTAAATATGCACAGCTGTTCTCCTGGTTTCTCCGTCAAGCCAGGCGCGGTTGTTTTGAGCTTAGCAGCAAATGACTAATGCTGCGTTCACACTGGACATAGCTGGCGCGACAGCAGCAGCGAGTTTACATGCAAAGTCAATGGTTGACGCGCATCAAGGCGCAGCAAAAGGTCCCGCGGCGCGTTTTGAGCAGCAGGCGCAGCACGTCTGAGCAGCTGTAGCAGCGCGTCGGGCGTCGGGCTAAGCATCTGACGCAGGGAGAGAGACACAGCGCTGATGATCACTCCTCTCAACCTGAAATGACTCATTTAATCATCCATAACGTTATGGAACACATTAATTAACTGAAAAATGTTGCATAGTGTGCCTTTAAAACAGTTTTATGACCAGGTGGTCGGTGAGCATGATGGCAACAATCTTACATTTCTCTGCAAACTTTGCCCGCCGGCTTTCAGTAAAAAAATCCGCACTTAAACCTCCCTGGTATAATTTTCCAGGATTCCAGTATTCCTTTTTAGTATGTCCTGAAATGGGATTTCAAATGGAAAAAAATTATTAAAATAAAAAAAACATTTGCACCTTAAAGACTACTTTCCTGTTTTTCGTTTAATAATTCCTCATAAAAAAGACCATTCAAGCAGCACATTTTTCCTGATGTTTTTGAGAATATACTGTAGGGGTGAAAGCTGCAGCTGCTACTAGAGTGAAGTGAATGGACAGCAACAAAGCGTTAAAGCAACAATGGGGAAATGCTGTCCCCTCAATTCTAATGTAAATC